ATATAAAAATATATTTACACACGTAAATAAAAAAATAATTTTTCTAGATCATAGATTGCGTTTTTCAATAAAAGCGAATCGTATTAGGATATTAATAAAAAATAATTTTCTAAAGAAACTTCAAATTTGGTCGAGCTTTTTTTCTTTTAAGAGCAAAGTGGTATCTCCTCCACATTGTTACAATTTTTCGAACTCTACAGTATATGTACTGTACGTACGTATCTCTTTTCCATTCTATAAATAATAAGCAAAGTGTATATTACATATTTACCATACATTGCCGTGCATAGGAATATATATGTACATATGTATATGTACACGCACAAGCAATATTCCTCCTGTAGAAAAGAACAAACTCTTTAGTAATATACATATATAACATATGCACGAAAAAACCGCCAAAAAGTTTGTTTTATTTCTACAGGAATATTACTTGTACGTAACTAATAAGAATAAACAAACATATGTATATATATATATATAGGTATGCATGAAATAACCAGTCCAGTTTGTTAAAAACGAAATTAAATTCTTTCGCAGTTGACTTTACTGAATTTAATTTATTTAACAATTTTTTCTAAAGATGTGATCCTTGAAAATGATAGAGGATGCCTATAAAGTTTTCAATTCATTTAGAAAAATTTTTGTAAGCCTACATGAATTTATTTATCTTATATATCGTAATTGTAATCATTTTGGGTAAAATGTCATATATAAATGAGAATATAAAAATTAAAAGTTTTATGGAATAAACCTGCATTTTTTAATAACACATAAATGATGTAACAAAAACAAATCATATATATTTGATAACATGTTTGTTTTGATATATATACCTCTCGTTCGTTTTGGCGTAATATATATTTATAGATGTATCTAGCGCATATGAACGGATTCTTAATCCCGTTACTTTGCAAACGTTTGATACAATGTGACGCCAAATCAAGCTATAACTAACAGAATTACAAATAGTGACCAATAAAATTTCAGATTTAACCATGATATTGTACCTAAAATAATTATAATATAAATATAGTAAACAAATAAGTAAATGCAAAATAAAGCGTGTCTTTCAGTAACAAAAAAAAATCACAAATATTTTTCTCAATAATTGCAAATTTTGCCACATTTAACATTTTCTTACGTCTCACGTGTTGTACTCTGTACATTGTTGCTTTTCCATGAGCTGTGTATATGCAATATATCTACACTGTCTCTCTTTTCCCTCTCTATGCATACATAATATATACTCACTCGTATACATACATATGTTATGTACATATCAGGAAAAAAACGCCAAAGCATTTTGATCTATGCAAGAGCAATGCCACGTGTACGTCATGTACAGACAAAAACGAATTTGGAAATGTTAAGAAGTTAAATTTGTTTTTTTCTGT